CCCAGGAATAGCCTGTTAAAATGTGTTTGCAGAAGGTGGTCTCTGACATATGTCCCTCGAGGTATCCTTTCAAATAATTCAAAAACATATGACCTCTGTTATATCCCTCCATTCTGTCCCCACATTGTGTAATTGTGAAGACGACCCTGTATTTTATAATTTTATACACAACTCTTAAGACATCATCCTCTTGGCAGATGAGAATGAGATCTGGCAGTTAATCATCTCGAGGTCAATAACCATCGCGCTACATATTTCTTGTATCCCATGGTACTGCAATTATTCAACATGTTTGTGGTGAAAATGATGGCATGAGTGGGAATTGAACCCGTGTGTGGATGCATGACCATATTACATAATACTCTGCAAGGATGGAGCAAGTGCGCAGCGAGTGCGCGCAGGTTGCGCGTTGGTTGTGATTATGACAAGTGCGGGTACATGTGCCCCCTGTGTCACGGAGTGTATAGCGGGTTGGAGTTTCATCCTCCATGGGGTCGTCCTCATTGTCGGAAACAACAATTTGAGGACCACGCAATCTTGAAGGGCCGGGCGACGGTGGAGGGCCGCACTAGAATTGAGCGAACAGTTAATAAAACAAGAAATAAGTGAGAGTAAAACAACTCACGGGGCAGACTTGGATGGCACCTGGATAGGACGTGGCGAGGACGGTGGAAGCTGCACGTGTGCAAATGCGGTGTGGTCTTCCTTGGTGGCTTGGCCAACCCGTTCAGTCAGTAGGTGGCATGACCCAGTTCTTGCCAAGTGCAGTGTGCTGTAAAAGTGAGAAAGGGACGAGGGTTAGAAGAAAAATGTACCTCGAGGTGCTTGCTGGTCTTGAGCAGCACATTTTTGAAGTTATCGAAGAGGGGCTGCCTGTCAGAATCGATCTCCTTGTAGATGCTTCGGAGAGGGTAGTGAAGACGAGCTAGATCGGTGTGCCACCCTGCGGCTGAGGGGCCAAGCTCGGAGGTGTTGTTCCTGAAAAACAGGAAAATGTTAGACAAAAACAAGAAACTAGAGAAAAGGAGGACCTACCAAGAAAGGGGTAGCGTACTCAATGAGCCTCATGACTCGAGAAAACCTCTTATTGAGGTACGAGTCCAGCATCTTGGGATCGGCGAGCAGTTGAACGAGTTGGCGAAGCTCGGGCTCATGGAGGTAGATAATGGGGTCAAGAGGGAGGTGATGATCATGGGTCCTGTCCTGGTACACGATGTCGTCGAATAATGGTCATGCATTGTGGGTCGAATGGACGGCGCCACACCTTCGGCCTAGACGTCATGATCACGCTCGAATCACAACACGGCACGCCCAAACCACACACTGGCACATCAGGGTATGAAGTTCCTCAGCGCGACAACAAGAATAGTGGATACAGGAGCCCTACCGATCAGGATTACACTGATCGGGGTACAGGAGTCCAGGGGTTACAAAAACCCGACACAGCGGCTATTTGATTGTACAGGAGAGCGCATGATCACTCTCCTCTACACCAACCCTAAACGCTAAATTAGTTACCAGGCACTGAGTGATCGCCAAGGACTTTATTTAGTATAAAAGTAGCAGTAGAATTTAATGTACAGTAGATTCTAGCTCGTCTAATCTTAGGCACTACTTTGGTCTGAAACTGGGCTTGACTCTCAGCTTTAAACCCCGCTCACTGTCTTATTACTCTTGGGTTTAACTCTATCCATACCCTGTTATCCGGAGGACGTCTTCCTCGCATACAGGGGTCTCACCATATCAGCTCGTCGTAAACGGAACACGACACCTGATCACCTACACTGGGGTTTGAAGTCCTAGCCGGGCTCTCTGCCGAAAGCCAACATCAGGCCGACCTAGGGTCCTCGCTGACACTAGGCTTTGGCTTTTGCGGTGGCGGAGTCAGTTCGCGAAAGATTCCTCGCTGGAGGAGGGGTCGTCGAGATCGGGTGGTGGAGCAGTAATGGTAGAGCGAGGAGCCATAGTAAAAGATTGTTGAAAGCGAAGAGAACCGGAAAGAAAGAAAGTGGGTGAAATAGTGGTGAGATGGTGGTTAAGAGGAAGAGACAAGTCAGCCAGGCACTGCAGCATGGAGCCGTGATGTCGGCAAACACGAGAAAGCTTGTTTTGCGGCGGTAACACTTTGAGGCCTGCGCAAGAAGTTGAACCCTGGGAAAGTTCAGGGTCCTGGACCTACAAAACCACACAAACTCACAGATTAAACCTCGACTAAGAGGCCGTTGGAGAAAATTGGGGTATCTTGAGAGAGCCCAGAGAGAGGAGTGAAGGGGCAGAGGTGGCTCACATGAGACAAACCAAATCAGTGAAAAACGGAGTCTGATCAGACATTGATCGAAGCCATCGGCTAAACTGGCACAGTGGGAATTGGTTCCGCCGCAGCAAACTCCAAAGTGAGACAGCATGGAAGCAACTAAGCGAGTAACGAGAAGGGACTTGGCAAATTCTGAGAAGGGTGACAAAATAGTTGGTTCAACTAGTTCGTCCCGGACAAGGAGTTTAGCTTTAGGATACCTGTCTAAAGAGAACCGAATCTGAATGAACTGTATAGTTGACTGGGGACGGTCAAAATTAAAGTGTTGGGGAGATGATAAGCCGTGGAATGACTACACGTGAAAAGAGGCAAATCTTTTCATTTTAAATGTGAACTATTTCGCTGGCAAGCTATCATATAGAGTGGTTTGTGCCCTTGCACAAGTCTGACTAAATGGTCCAGATGGCTCCACAGACCCTGTTCTGTTCTATGAGCAGGGAGTACCGCTAATGGTTGAGTCGCTGAACAACAAGAACACAAACTAGACAGATATGGAATAAGACTTGGAAGGGCCAAAGTGTCACACGGCGGACGACTTAAAGCTTTGCCCTTTTCAATTTTGACGTCCTTTTGCTAAATCCGGCCACTTTGGCCTTTCGGGCTTTCCCGCGGCCATGCTGCAGCCACGCATTCTCGGGGTTTGCCGGGGTTCAACTGATCCCAATAATGATTCTTGCCTCTTGTGTTGAGCTCACGTTCAAATATTCTTGGAATCGACTGGCACTACACAGATGAGCATAGTGTACAAAGTTACCAGGAAATTGTGACTTGTAAAAATCCAAAATCAGAGCAAAAAGATGTCCCGAACACGCACAAGTCACTGTTGTGTGAAATGCAACGAACCAATTCAAGCAGAACTTGGTTGAAAGTCATTGAACCCATTATTTTTAATCCCTGATATTTTTTTTTGGAACCAAATGACTAGCAGAATGATTGGTTTCCTACGGCGTCACGATGGTTGTGACAGCACCGAACTCCCCGGCAGCACCCGGCACAATTTTAACTGTCACACTTGATTTGATCTGGGTCTACAGCAGGCACTCCGGTCCTCATTTCAGGGAGGAAAAAAAGTAAAATGACTGGGTAGCAAGACAGAACACCCTCCACCACCCATCTCCCGCAAATTCACTAATTGAATGAAGGTGAAGATTTGATTTTTAACCCTCGCGGCATGTTCTCAACCACATCTTGCATAGTCTTCCTTATCCCGCTCTCTGGGTCTTGTACTTCAGCCTCCTGCACAGATTCCCTGTCATTCTGGGAATATTTGAGGGTGAAATGATCCCAAGAGCGGGAAATCATTATTGGGATCAGTTGAACCCCGGCAAACCCCGAGAACGCGTAGTCTCTCGTAGACAGACGCTACAACATTTTGCTCGTACCTCGCAAGTTGTAGTCTGTTGATTAGGGTGATCAGTTGATTGCCCGCTTATGACAAATCACAAATTTTCTCGGGTGTTGAGGTGAGTCCTTCGACGCGTTTTTCATTGATTTACGGCATCCATGACCCTCAGTACATCGGCCCAAGTGTTCTATGCGGCTAAATTTCGTTGCGAAGCTTCAAGAACGAGGATGCCAAAATTTGATGCCCGGCATGCGCCAAACACCGAGATATTAGTTCAAGCTCAAAGGCATAGAATAAAAATATTCTGAAGCGGTAGATCCCTTCATAAGGTAGTATAGTGTACTGATTTGGTTGAATTTAAACTGCTGGAGGATGTAGGGAGCAGCGGGAAGGGAGGGGAAAAGTGATTTGTAATCACCTGCCAAATGATTGGTAATAAGGTGGGCGAGCGAACACCGGTGGCGCGGTCAACTACAGACTAGAGAACGCGTGGCCGCAGCGCGGTCGCGGCAAACCCCGAAAGGCCAAAGCAGCCGGATTTAGTAAAAGGACGTTGGCGAGGCGTGTCAAAGGACATGCTGCGCCAAATCTACAAAGGACAAATGATTGTCCGCCGTGTCAGCTAGACCACCTACTACAGGGAGGAGTGAAATGAACTATATACCAGTGACAAGACTTCAAGTTTCTGAACCAGACGTGCTCAATTATTCGCTGGAGAATGCCAGGGTCTCCCCTTCCTCTAGATCTGCCGTCACCGATGGTTTGCACCCGGAAGTTGTTCTGCTCCGGCAAATAATGCCCCAAGTGTTAGTTTTTTCAGGTGGTGATATTAGTGGGATGGCCTTAGGTACTTGCTCGCTGTTGTCGGCCGTCTGTTCATGTTCAAAATTAGCGTGACCAATGATGATGACGTGACAGCTAAAGGCCTTTATAAAGGGCAAGTTTTCGGCCAAAAAATCTAAAGGCCTTTACCCTTTAAGCGAACGCTGAAAGCAGCAGCAGAGCTTCAACCCTGTGTAAATGACTGTGTACTTTACCGTGAATACCTGCGCTAACATCCTCCCTCTTCATGTACATCAAAATTGCCTTTTTGGGTTGCGAAGCGGTGAATGGCTCCATTGGGAATCACTCAATCTCCAAACTTTTTACGCCGGCGTTTCAGGTCCATTAACGCTGGGATCTCCTATTTAATTATACAATTCCAGGTTGCTTGAAAATCTCACGTGGTGCTGTCGCGCGTACGAATCAGCCAAACACCGACAAACTGAATGATCAAGGAGTCACTCCGACTCTGTTTGGGCGCGTCCAATCGTGTGGGAGAGATTCAAGCAAAAAGGAGGTCTGCCTTGGCGGGAATCGAACTCGCACCCTCCAGCTGTCACGTCTGATGTGGAAGCTGACGTCGTACCGCTAGACCACAAGGCTGACAAGAAAGGTGGTAGTGACATTCAATGCCGACAAATAACCAGTGCTGGGAGCTCTCGACACATTTATCTTTGCACGCCTCTATGTTATGTGCAGCCCGACATTTATCGTGGCAATGTCATTGTTGGTCTCCCCAAAACTCTTTGTACTCGACGTCGCCAGCGTGCTGGCATCTTCCTCCGGGTGTGCCTCTACATACTCCTGGGCAGCCCTGGTAGGGTCTACTTCATTTCCGGGGGATCTCTAGACCGCAAAAGTTGAGCCTTCGAGGCAACTACAGTATTACGGTGTCTATACAATTCAACTTCTACGGTTGGTCGGCATCTACTTGGCTCATGAAATTACAACGATATAATGCGGGCGCCAAACTCCGCAATAGGATGCGCGAACTGCGGGCCCGGACAGCTCATGAACATGAGTGACGAAGGGATCTGGAGGCGGTGTGCAAGTGATGCGACGTTCGCTGGCGAGAACATCCCTTGAACGATAATCTTCCAAACAAAAAATCAGTTTGCGGTTCCGTTTTAATCAACGAGATATGCCATACCAAGTCGATGGTGATCTCGGGAAACGCCTCGTCCAGAACTTAATTTGACCATCCAGCTCAGCACTACTTAGGGTAACAATAGATCGGCAATGGACCCACTTTTCGCATTCGCCTCCAGCTCCGACGGAACCCCATTCTCCTCGTCGCTGAAGTGCACGATCTTCACGCACGACGTCTCCTCGTTCTCTCGCACATACAGGAGCATGTGCAGCAAATGGTTGACCTGTAGAGGGCTTGGCCTCAGAACGAGAACGGGACGCGGATGTAATGATTTTAAATATATACCTCGTCTGTCTTGACAAGCACGCAAACAGGCTGCCGCTTCAGGCGCACCATACGGCGCACGAGCCCCTGCCCCCAGGTCTTGCTCGCGGCCCAGCGGTGCAGCACCGGGTATTGATCGTACATCCAATATACCGCGCATAGCAGCTGCGCTTGATTCTGCGTCGCCCCAAATACGGCGAGAACGCCGATGAGGTAGGCGGCGAAATATCTAGGGGCGAATGAGATACAGTACGCTCGAAGGCCTGGTAATAATTGAGGAACACGAACCCGGCGGTACACGGATCGATGATGACGTTCCCCGCGAAGACTACGGGCGTCAGAAGAAGGGTGAAAGCGACGATTGACAGTGGGGTGGGGCGTTCGCGCGGCAGGCGTCCGCGATTGAAGCGAAGTAACAGCAGCGCGAGAGGGAACAGTCCCATCACCGTCAACCACACGAGCGAAAACCTGGCCGTGCGTGAGCGAAAAAGAAAATGCAATGCAGACATCCACACATTTTAGAAACAATGGCAAGTTTGGCGCCAGCACTGGAGTAGAGGGCGCCGTTGATCGCGGTGATTACGACTACCGATATGTAGGGGGCGCCGCTGAGTGGGAGGATCTTGAGGAATATTTGTGGGACGATACGGTCGTGTGCGAGCTGCTCAAACAGCTCGCATGCACTCAGGATACCTGAGGGAAATAAAACTTAGAAACGAGCCGGACGGTGTTGTTCATATCCGTACCTGTCAAGACTCCACCACATAGAACCACGGCCGCGTCAACCACAATCCACGTCCTTAACCATCGTCCGGCGGCCTGTGTATCCCGAGTCAGTACAAGTTCAATGCTGACAATGTTCAAAGAGTGGGTGCAAACATGCCATTTCCGCTAGGAGGCTGAGAACGTTTGCGCCTTGCAGAATGTGTTCGAGCGGAACCGTCGCGAGAACAAGGGTGATCATGAGAGTGTTCAGCACGATTGCCGGCAAGTGTAAATTCCGCAAGACAAAGGGAAACCGCCCAGGCTTCATGCGGCCAATATAAGTCGGTGTGCCTAAATCGGGGAGTCAGATTTAAGATTATGAACGCGGACAGATCAAATAAATAGTGAACATACATTCTATTCCAGTCAATCCCAGCATCCCAAGACAAAACCCTTTGAATACTTGACGCGCAATGGCAGCGCGCGAAGGAGCCTGGCCATCTGCCCAGTTGCGTTGTAACTGTGCGTTCCCATTCCGTGCCCAATGCACGATCGAAGCGATAGTGAGGGCCGTCATTGTCGCAACATGGAACGCGAGGACCACGAGCGCGATGCGTGCGCTCTCCTTGAGACCCGTCAAGCTGATGAGCGCGAAGATCAGCAGAACGAGTCCCGCGCCGACAAAGGCTGGGAAAGGCAGCACCACTTCCCCCGCGAGGTACGACAATGCGGTGGCAGCCGATACCACGGAAGTGCTGGCGAAGTCCAGAAGCAGTAGCGCGGCACCAAGCACAGCAAGGGACTTCCGCGATACGTTCAGTCTACCGACGCCGATCGGTCAATATACCAAACCTCAGTAGGTATTGAGCGCGCACATGTAAGAGTAGGGCGCCCCGTTGATGGGGAGCGCTGAAGCCAGCTCCTCCATAATTGGACGCCACAGAAAGGGCGTCAGGGTTGCCATGAAAAGGGAAATCGGCGAACTGGGTCGGCCGGCGTTAGAAGCGAAGGGAAAAGGTGCGTCGCAACGTACTAGACTCCGCAAACCGCGACGACGGCAGGCAACGCGTAAAACACGCTTCCCAGAACCGCGTTGCCCGGCAAGGCCGTGCCCGTGAACTGCCCGAGGAGCTGGGCACGTCGGATGCGATTTCGTCGCTCCTCCCCAACGGTGTGGTCCTCAGTCGTGAGTTTGAGCTTCGAGAAAGAGCCCCACCCGGCAAACTCAAAGTCGCTCGAGAGGTTCAGAAAGCGCGAGGATGTCGCGAGCGTGGCTTTCAGGCCGCCACCGTCGCGAGGGCGCGTCCGCTGTCTGCGCAGGATTATATCGAACTGCGACTCGCGGAACGTGGGGGGATCGGCTGACTGAGCCGACGCTGAAGAGGACAAGAAAAAAACGCGTCAGGCGCGTCTACTGCACGCTTGATGAAGCCACTCACCAACGTTGGCGCTGCGCGCGATGGGTTCAATGGCGATCCAGGGCTCCTGTGCACCATCATCCATGTCGTCGGGGGGATAAGAGGGCAAGGCGGACTCGGGTTGCCATACTAAAATCATTCGAGCACCGAGTTTGTGGGGCGGGGGGGATTGGATTGCCTCAAATGTGATTGAGGTACAAAGGGGTGACAGAGCCGTTGGAGTCGGATCGTACGGGTGTATCACCGCGATTCAAGGGCTGCGACCCTTGATTCTGAACAGCCGCGTCGACCCGCAGGCCTTTGTGTCGCGACAAAGGGGTGGAGAAAAAAGGAGAGAGATTGCTGTGTATAGTAACACTTTGGCATGGCGATCGACAACAACGTGGCCAATCGGCTAAGTTCCAGGACAAAAAATGTTGCAGCCTCAGCCTTTTCAGCAGCCTTGAGGACCGTTCGAAAGTGTCAAAGTTCAGTCCTAGTATCTGAATTAACATTTAGAAACTCACGTTCGACATGCTACCTCCCGCTAGCAACTTGGCGTTAATCGACCCGAGGAAAAGCTTGAGCCAACTCCTGCCCGACTGCAAGTGAATCAGGTAAAGAGAAGGAAAACGTGGCAGAATCGGCCGGAGAGATGGCGAGGAAAATTTGAGACGGACTTGAAAATGCCCTTTTCGACCAAGAGGCACTTGATAAATGTACACGGTGTACCGAAAGTTGGTGGGACCATTTTATTTTTCCGTACTGGAGTTGTGATTCGGTAAGGAAGCCGTCAGAGGACCAGGGCAAAGGGGACGCCGCCGCCAGAGTACGCAGGCTGGAGCGTCGAAATTACACCGACATGAAAGCACGGAGTGAGGTTAATTTCCGACCACCACTACTTATGTCGCGGTTCTTCAGCCATACACTCAACGATGAACCAACTGGAAAATCTGGGGATTAGACGGAGATGATGCATCGATATTGACCGGTTGTCAGTCCATCTCGAACAAGAGGCACTTGACAGGGACCATTTGCGCGTGGTATATATGGACCTGAAAACGAGGGAATCATGTAGGGTCCGGGCCAAATAGTTTGGCAAGGATGTTGCTAGAAGATGGGCCAGATGCGATTGGGAGGATGCAGGCGGGGGTGGAAAAATTACACACAAAAGACCGATACCGACTGAAAGCAAATAGAACATAGGAAGGGATATTTCTGACCGCCGCTACCACGTCTCCTCCTTGGAGTCGCCACCAGGAGCCTTTAAGCTCTGAAACACAGGGTAAGATATCCCGGGTCGCCAACACAATACATATGTACCCACCTCGGTGGCATTTCTCCCGGGAATGGGTCGAGCGGTGTTTTTCGGAGGTTGATTCACGAGGCGCTCGAACAAGGTATCTGAGAAAGCGTGAACTTGTGACTCGGCAGCCTGAGACCGAGGTTTTTTCTACGCACACCCAGTGAGGAGGAGGATGGGCAGTGAGATGGCAATGACGCGTATCCGCCGAGCTTGCAGCGAGGGTCTGACTCGTTGTAGAGGGTCGTTACCCTTGCCATCCATCCTTCAATGCCGATTTTCGAGGTGGCGGTTAGAAGGCAAGTGTTAACGTAAACTTGATTTGATCACTACTTCATCACGGTCACGTGCTCTCGACGCGTACAGCGAGTCAACTGCCAGCGGATAGCTTTGATATACCCAGATCCCGCCGCTACTGAGTGGTACAGTGTGCTACGCGCAATTGCCCGTCCTGTTCGTTGTCCCAGCACCACCCGCGTTACCACCTGCCTCTTGGGTCGATGTCCTGTGCGAAAACCTGCGCATCTCCGGTGGGTTCTAAGGGAGGCTGTCCTGGTTGGAACGTGAAATCGAGTATCTGCTTGTTGCTACTTTCCTCTTTCTTCTCCAAGACGAGCTGCACAGTATCCCATCAGACAAGCACACCACATGAAGGAATTCAATTGCCTGACTACCGACTTTACCACTCCAGCATAGAGGAATATCCTGACTTGCCGCACTAGAATTCAGGGCTCCTGGGATGCAGATCTACATGTATCCAACAGCTCAGAACAACCTCAGAAAC